GGGCAGCGTTGTCAAACAAAGCGATTTCAATAATAGGCATGCATGAGTTTTGTTAAAGGTATGATATATGTATATATATTTTAAAAAAAACTTTAGATGAACCAACGACCGCGACGTGGTTCAAAACATTGCGACCTTTCTTGCTACGGAATTTTAAGGGTCCTCCACAAAATTCTGCCCTAGTTTAGTGGATTGCTGCTTCTGACGGCTGCTTGCGGTAAATGGCTGAAATTACTTCGGAATTTTGAGGGTCCTCCTCAAAATTCTGCCCCAGTTTCCAATTGCGAGGGGAAATAAAAATTTTATTGCATTATGACCGAACCCATAAGGCTGCCTACTTATCCCCTCTTAAATGGGAATCAGGTCAGACGTAGTTCAAATTACATAAGGAAATCATAAATGGTTACACATAGTATCGCTTGACTGCATCTGAATTTATTGGTTTTGGCCAAACTTCTCCGTCCATTTCTGCAAGTATGAGGGCTCCTCCTGTCAGAACCCGATGAACCATGTATGGACCTTGCCAGTTAGGGGAGAACTTCCCTTTGGCTTCATCTTGATGTGGAAAAATCTTCTTCAACACCAGCTGCCCAGGTGTAAACCGTCTTGGTCTGACTCTTTTGTTGAAGGCTCTGGTCATTCTGTTCTGGTAAAGTTGACCATGGCAAATCACGTTCATTCTCTTTCCATCTATGAGAGCTCACTGTTCGTAATGACTCTTTACTCATTCTGTATCGTTGATTTTTGCTTCCTGTATGATTCTTAGGGATGGAATTTCTACTTTGACGGGGACGACCGCTTCCGTACCATAAACCAACATATAGGGAGTTGCACCAGTCGATGTGCGGACTGTGGTGCGATACCCTAACAAAGCAAATGAGAGCTTCTCATGCCACTGCTTATGCTTTTCTACCATCTTTCTCAATATCTTCTTGATGTTCTTATTGGCGGCTTCTACAGCTCCGTTCATCTGAGGCATGTAGGCTATGGATTTCTTGTGTTTGATTTTGAAGGCTTCACATATGGCTTTCATCAAATCACTGTTGAGGTTGGAATCGTTGTCAGTAATGACTGATTCTGGGATCCCGAATCGATAAATGATACGGTCACGGACAAAGTCTGCCATGACTTTCTTGGTCACTGCTCTGTAAGATGCTGCTTCAACCCATTTAGTGAAATAATCAATTGCTACTAGGATAAACATGTGCCCATTTGATGCGGCAGGTTCGATTGGTCCGATAACATCCATTCCCCATGTGGCGAACGGCCATGGCGAGCTTGTTGCATTAAGCTCATTTGGAGGCACTTTTATCATGTCTGCATGGATCTGACAGCGGTGGCACTTTCGAACATACTGGATGCAGTCCGTTTCCATAGTCATCCAGAAATAACCTGCCCGGAGTATCTTCTTGGCTAAGACAAAACCATTCATATGTGGACCACATGTCCCAGCATGAATTTCCTCTAGCAGTTTGGATGCTTCCTTTGCATCAACGCACCTTAGCAAACCCAAATCCGGAGTTCTCCTATACAGGATTCCTCCGCTGTGTAATAAATTGTTGGATAATCTTCGCAGAGTGCGCTTCTGAATAGTATTTGCAAGCTCTGGGTATTTTCCTTCGGCCAAAAATTCCTTGATGTCGTAAAACCAAGGCTTTCCGTCTGCTCTTTGACTTGCTTAGTGACTTCTTCCTTGATTTTCAAACTCATGTTTGGTTTGAACTTTCTGAGCTTCTATTTCACTGGCAGACATGCCGGATCAGTCGGTAATTTGTGAGCCACAATGGACGTGCTTAGACCAGTCATGTTGTCATATGACCATGCGAATATGTCCTCATATTCCTTTAGAAATTTTGTATACTCTTGCTTCTCAGATGGTGACAAATGAACGCTGACTCGTGTTTCTTTGATGTTCTATGCGTCTCCTAGATTGACGATCTCCGTCTCGTCCAGGTTGGACTTAGGCCTATTCTAAAAATTCTCAACTCCTTTAACGACTTCTTTCGGTATATCATCTTCCTCTGAATCTGTGTCCGTTTGTCGCGTTGTCTCGTTGCATGTCACAGTCGTTGGTTCATCAAGATAAGTAATAGTAATGCTGTTTGAGTAAAGTAATGAGGGAAAATAATAAGAGAGAGATTTGTAAGAAAATTGAAATACTTTAATAAATTCCATAAGGTTTTTGAACATTGGAGCTCTTTCTTGCTAAAAAAGGAAAATGCGAAAAGAAAATAAACTTTAATAAAGCAAAATAGTGCGTAATGCTTTGTTTAGCCTTGCTACCCCGAGGCACGTCAGGCTCTGGTGGTTCTGACGGTCCAGTTGCTGAGTTGTGATCCTCTGCTCACAGCCTATATGGAAGGGCCTTCCTCCCCCTCCTCCTAAAAAATGGCACAACAGTCCATATCATCATCTTCCAGGTACAAGCTCCTTATCGCTGATAATGCTTCCTCTTCTTCTGACCCATAGATAATCTCGGCTGGTTGAAAAGTCTGCTCTAGACGGGGTNATAATATATAAATAGATAGCCACTATACAAAAAATATACAAAATGGACGGTTACTACACAAAAAATATACAAAATAGATAGTCACTATACAAAAATATACAAAAAAGACCGTTACTATATAAAAAAATATACAAAATAGACTGTCACTATACAAAATAGACTGTTACTATACAAAAAATATACAAAATAGAGTGTCACTATACAAAATAGACTATTACTATACAAAAAATATACAAAATAGAGTGTCACTATACAAAATAGACTGTTACTATACAAAAAATATACAAAATGGACCGTTACTATACAAAAATATACAAAATAGATTGTTATTATACAAAAATATACAAAATAGAGTGTCACTATACAAAATAGACTGTTACTATACAAAAATATACAAAATAGAGTGTCACTATACAAAATAGACTGTTACTATACAAAAATATACAAAACAGACCGTTACTATACAAAAAAATACAAAACAAACCGTTACTATACAAAAAAAATACAAAACAGACCGTTACTATACAAAAAAATATACAAATAGACTGTCACTATACAAAAAATATACAAAATAGAGTGTTACTATACAAAAAATATACAAAATAGACTGTCATTCAATTTCTAGCTAATATTATTAGATCCAGAAGTACAAAATACAATTTAAAAAAGCAAAAAAGGCCTATATCAATATGTTTGGGCCGAAGGCAAAAAAAGGTTGCTCCAGGTAGTTGTCGAACCTACGACCTTCAGGTTAGAAAATAGACACCCTATCCACTAAGCTACAAGCGCTTATGTTGTCATACTCATTCCTTTTGGCTAGTATATTCAATATATTTGGGCCTAATGGCCTTTTTTTGTAAGTGGTATAAAACACGGGCTATTAAAATTTTGAGGAGCTATAGATGGTAGTTTTCTCAAAATTATTGTGTTTGGACATGATTTTCACTTGGAAAAAAATATATTTTTGCTTGTTTAACCTTTTGAGTTTGAAAAAAGTAGTATCTCATTCACATTTTGAGGGAGGCACAACACGTCCTTGATCTTAAATCTACGGCTATAAATGAGTTGGTAATTGCATGTACTTTCAAAATGTCAAAAGATGACCTTCAATAATACCCAAAGATACCCAATAATATTTTATTATATAGAAGAGTAAATTTCATCTATCTGCCATAATATTATAAAGTAAGGAAATACTACCTCATACATCTTTTGCATGACATACAAAAAATCTTTTTAAATTAATATGTTCAGTTGATTTACAAAATTTTGAAATGTCATGTCACTTACAAAACTAACTCCTATTAACATTCAAAATTGTTGCTTTTATTTTCAAAATAATGGCGATGAAAAATTTCAAAATAGTTAGACCTATTTTCAAAATAGGTACATTTCATACGTTTTTTGACCTTTTGAAGATTCTGTCAATGACTATGGTCAAGGCGGTTCTCTAATCTCTATTCCATTCAAAAGGTGAATGGGGTATTATTTTTCTAATAAAAAAGGTTAGTCGTTAAGTGAAATTTACTCCCAAAAAAACAAAAGAGTATAAGTAAGAAAAGCAATCAAGGGTCTTTTGATTCATTGACAAAGTTATGCAGCGATTTTATTTTATTACAACAACAACAAATTCAGTGCAATCCCACATGTGGAGTCTGAGGAAGGTAGTGTGTACGCAAACTTTACCCCTACCTTATGAAGGAAGAGAGATTGTTCCCAATAAACACTCGGCTCAAGAGCAGACAAAGACACAATAAACTAACATTAATAATGGCAAGGAAATAAGATAAAAGAAACAAATAGCACATCATGTAATAGCAGAGAACTAGGAATACGTAGCTATAAAAGAAGTGCGAAAACTACCGGCAATTTTAATGCCACATCGTCTAATCAGTAAGGAACTTGGAATAGAAGAATACAAGACTAGTACTAGTGCTACTACTACTACGACTAGAAGAGACTCTCGACTACCTGTCAACCCACAACTCTAATCCTCGACCTCCACACCTCCCTATCGAGGGTCATGTCCTCGGTAAGCTGAAGTAGAGCCATGTCCTGCCTAATCACCTCTCCTCAGTACTTCCTAGGTCTCCCTCTACCTGTCCTCTAACCCGCTATGGTCAACCTCTCGCATCTCCTCACCGGGGCATCGATGTCTCTCCTCTTCAAATGCCTGAACCATCTCAGCCTCGATTCTCGCAATTTGTCTTCCACAGGGGCCACACCCACCTTGTCCCGAATAACTTCATTCCTAATCTAGTCCTTCCTAGTATGCCCATACATCCATCATAACATCCTCATCTATGCTACTTTCATCTTCTGGGCATGAGATTTCTTGACTGGTTAACACTCGGCTCCATATAACATAGTCGACCTAACTACCACTTTGTAGATCTTACCCTTAAGGCTTGGTGGCACATTCCTATCATACAAAACACACGCAAGCCTCCATTTCATCCACCCCGCTCCAACACGATGCGTAACATCCTCGTCAATCTCCCCTTCCCCTGAATAACGAACCCAAGATATATTTGAAACTGTCTCTCACGGGGATGACTTGTGTATGATGCTTCCCCTCCGCTTCTGTTTCCTGTGTCCCCTCATTGAACTTGCACTCCAAGTATTCAGTTTTTGTTCTACTCAACTTGAAACCATTATACTCCAGGGTCTGCCTCCACAGCTCCAGCCCCGCAGCGTCGTTAACCCCGCAACGCGTCTCATCGATTAGCACAATGTCATCTGCAAAACATACACCATGGCACCTCTCCTTGAATGTGGCACGTCAACACGTCTATCGCCAGGGCAAATAAAAATGGATTAAGAGCTGAACCATGATGTAACCCCTTCATCACAGGAAAATAGTCTGAGTCTCCTCCCATAGTCCTCACCCGAGTCTTCGCTCCATCGTACATATCCTTAATCATCCTAATGTACGCCACCGGAACCCCACTAACCTCCAGACATCTCCATAAAATCTCCCTTGGGACTTTATCGTAAGCTTTTTCTAAATCGATGAACACCATATGCAGGTCCCTCTTCCTCTCCCGATACTGCTCCACCAATCTTCTCACAAGATGAATGGCTTCTGTGGTCGAACGCCCCGGCATGAAACCGAACTGATTCATCACTTGATTATTCAAAGCATATGCTTTTTAGGTCGGTGTTTGCAGGGACGGATTTATGTGGAGGGGGTGGGGTACATGCACCCCATGCTCCCTCCCTAGGCTATATATAAACTATAAAGTACTAATCTTTTCAATTTTGTGGTTAAATATATTTATGGCCACCCATGCTCAATTGATTGACTTGCTTCATTGGTGACAAAGTGCCCCTTTTGTCTCCTTCTTGCCCCCAAGGTCAGGGGTTCGATCCCCATGTTCTTTTTGATTAATTCCTTTTATAATTAATTAATTACTAAATAAATTCTCAACTCCCCATGCCCTTTTCAATTAACAACAAACACATTTTTTACGTCATTTTTATTTTTCTTCTCTTAATCATTCTTTTGAGTACAAAAACTTTGAAATCCCTAAAAACAAAATACTCATGACTCGTCTATCTCGACTCTGAGACTCTCAGTGGATGCAAAGCAGCAAAACGCCATGCTCAATATTAAGCTCCGCTTCTAAAAACTTTTTTGAATAATTGTTTAGTTTGCTATATAGAGCGTGAGATATTTAAAACAGTAAGTAATGATGCTATTATTGACTGTTTTCAAAGTATAAAAACTCGTCAAGTACAATTGTAAAGTGTGATATTTTTTGCGAATATAGTATCAATATAGTTTGCTCGTAAACTTGCCATCACCAAAAAAAAATTATATAATGAAACCAAACATCTATCTTAAAGATAATAGTGCACCCATGGTATTAAAATCTTGGATATGCCTCGGGGGTGTTTGGTATTGTATAAAAACAAAGAGATATGGATATGGAGTTACTATAAAGTTTATAATTTTATCATTTTTAAATACAAATTAAAAAAAGAAAAAAGTAAAGGCTATTTTGGTCTTTTTAGGTGTTATTTCCTCCTAAAACTAGCTCTCGTATAGCTCTCGTATGAGTTATCCCATGTTGGAACCTATATAAAATAATATCAAAATTGTGGTATAAAACTACACCGATATTACTTGCACCAAAAACAAAATACCAACCAAACGTCATATAAAATATTAATGTATTTTATGCAAAAATGAATTTCCTAATTCCTATATCTAAAAGACTCCTTAATTTCTCTTTCAAAATAAAATTGAAGACGAGAAAGAGATTCTTGGTTTGTGCTAATGCCTCATTTCCTGACTACAATTCCACACCTGATCCTCTATCCAAAAGTAAGAGTAGTGTTATTCAAACCCGTGGCCACTTCCCTCATTAACCTCTCCTAGTCCATTTCCATACATACTAACTAGGAGTTACAATCCCATTTTAAGCCAAACTAAACAAACCTGTAAGCTTCTTTTCTCTAGGGGATAGTTATGTTCAAGAAATGGATACAAAAATCTGCTGAGAGGGATTACATAAAAGGAGGGAGAACAGCCAAAGCAGATCTAACGCCATTTGAAACTTCTGAACACTTTTCATAACTATTGAAGCAAACAGTATGCTTATCAAACAGAATTTGATCAGCCATGCAACTTTTTACCAATCGATGTCCCGTAAATTATATTCCAGCTTCTAAACATTCTTCCCTCTAGTTATTTATCGTCATTAACTTTTAGCGTTGAGAGTCCGCTCTTACTCCGAGAGAACAATTTCCCAAAACCATTTTTGCTTTTGGCAGTGGTCGCCTGAGTAGTGGATGAAGATGAAGATGAAGATGCTGATGATTCCCCTTCATTTCCATTCATTGAATGACTCGCATTCTCTTCCTCGACCTTGGAAGGATCAGAATTGCGTTTAGGGGTAAATGTCTCGTTTACGTGCAATTTCCATAGTTCTCCAGCTTTAGCAACAACTGATTCTCCCCCAGGAAGATTTGCAGTGTCTATCAGGAAATCTTCCAGAGTGGCTAGGGACTGTAGCTGTTTTCCAAGGGATGCAATTGTTTTCTGGCATTCTGCAAGCTTGTCAGCAGCCACTGCTAAATCCTCCTGCAAATGAGAAAGTTCACATTCCATTATTTGTTTTCATCTTCTCTCTTCACATCCATGTGTATAAACACTGGAATGATAAAAAACACAAGATAGGTTGACACAAAGAGCTACCTGTTTTATTTTCACTTCACCATTTGAACCAGAAGTTTGCTGAAGTTCAACTTCCTGGGCTTTTTTCTGGAGCTCATTTTCCAATTCACGACACTTAGCTTCCATGTCTGATGACAAGGATTGTTCTCTTTCAATCTCTGTCTTCAAAGAAGCAATATTTGCAGACATAGTCCGTGCTTCTACCTCCATGCCGAAGAGTTGAAACTCAAGCAACTCTTTTGACTCATTCACCGCATCTAGCTCCTTCTGCAGCTCTTCCAATCTGGTTTCACTTTCCTTAAGCTGCACAGAGGACACCTTAAGGGCATCTTGACACTCGCTTAATGCATTCTCCAGTTCAGCTTTCTCTGCTTCTATCTTCTCCAGCTTTTGTTCTAATTCAGTCACCCTTTGTGAAATGGAATCATATTCTGCTGCCAAAGGGTTCTCGACATTGGGTGAGTCATGAGGAACAGCATCAGATGTAATTGAAGGTGTCTTATTAGCAGTTTCGGATAATGCAGCAAGCCGTTCCATCTCCAAGAAGTCATCCATCATATCAATTTCAATAGAACAGGCAGCAAGAGTTTTATGCGTGGCCTTTTCATTCTTAAATTGATCAAGCTCAGCAATGAGTGCCGAAGCCCATGAATTAGAGCAACTTGGTTCATATTCATTTGTTTCCAGTTTAGTCATCTTAAGGCCATCGTTATCGACTGTATTTAACCGCTCTCCGCTGTCAGACTGACTATCAGTGACAGACTCTACATAGTAAGATGAAACAGCAGAGGAACGTTGATCACTAAATGGGGATGCTTTGCGCGCCATGGCCTGAAGCTTTCGACACTCAGCTTCAAGCTTGGTCACCTTTTTTATGCTTTCTAGGTGCTGCTTGCTGGCGGATTCTGCTGCTTGAGTGCTCAAATCCCTCTCGATGGTCCTAGTTTCCAACTCCTCCGAACAAGAGTGAAGCTCAATTTTGAGAGCTGTATTCTCCTTCTCTAGACAATCAAGCCTGACAAGGATATCAGGATCAGTAGAAGTAGGAGATTCAGCTTTGCAAGTCTCTACTTGTGACTGGAGCTTAAGTAGCTGGTTTTCAAGTGCAGCTTTTTCAGATTCCCATTCATTTTTCTCTGCAACAGCTTCTTGAATTCGTTTCTCTTGCTCATCCCTAGCTTGTCTCAACTGCCTGACACATTCCTTTAGTGCACCATCAAGATGGCTGACACGAACTTCCAAAGACAAGTTCTGCTGCACAGCTGCATCTAGTTGTTGCTTTACAACTGCAACTTCACTTTCTGCCTTTTCCCAACCTACCAAATACAGGATATTAAGAGACCAAAAAATCATAAGGTGATGGAAGAAGTATATGTCCAGATAAATGTTTCTGCATGTAATTCACATACAAAAAAAGGGGTGTATGCGAAGAGACAAATTCTTATAATGCAATTGCAGCTCTGGAAGAAAAGGAGTGGAAGAAGATACCTGCAATAGCTTCTTCAGCTACTTTAGCATGCTGCTTAACTAAGTCTTCTTTGGCACTAACATTAACAAGAGCAGCTGATAACTTCTCTGTCAAACTTCTCAAGCTTTCCTTGGCTTCATCATCAATAGTTGCAGCTTTTGAGGTTATCTCTGGTGACTGCTTGTCATGGTCAGGAAATTCTTTCAGTGCATCCTGCTCCAACTAAAGAAAATAGAATAGGTGATCATTTTTTACGAAAAAGGATATATTATACAACAGCTAAAGGAGATCATTTTTTATGAAAAAGGATATATTATACAACAGCTAAAAATGATAAAGGTTTTCTTTAAAAATTGTTTTGTTAAGTAATGAACTAAATTGCATTGAGTTGGTCATCTGGCAGCTATAGTCACTAAGGAAACTATTGAATGGTTTTCGATACGAGGCAAATGACCCTAGAAAGAAGATTTTCCCAGCAAAGCACTATGATCATCCTTGCACTCATTTTGAAACATCTAACCTCACCAAAAAGCATATTCCAATGACTACTGTAAGAAACATCACTTACGAAAGTTTTTGGCACTTTCTTTCTAAGCCAAGGTCTTCCAGCATCTGTTATCATCTAAGCTGGGCAACCAATCTTTATACTGGGAAAGCATATTGAGGCACCAAACTAGACGTCAATTTTCAGTCACTATAATCTTTAGCTGCACATATCAAATACTGCTCAAGTTTCCTCCGCAATTTGTATTCACCATTACAGGAGATGCTAGTTGCATATAGATAAACTGTCTGGCGCTCAATTACTATGATCTGACATACTCAATCTTATCACAATAATCTCTTTTATGTTGCTTTTGGCCCCATAGATCTGAAATTCATTAATTGACTACAATTTTCGATTGCACGACTTACAACAACAACTACAAACCCAGTGTAATCCCACCGGTGGGGTTTTGGGAGGTTAATGTGTATGCAGACCTTACCCCTACCTTGTAAAGGTTGAGAGGTTGTTTCTGATAGACCCTCAGCTCAAGGAACAGTGAAAAGGAAGAAACAAACAATAACAACAACAAGAAATAACAAAGACACAACGTGTAATAACAAAGATCTAGAAGCATTTGTGGGCAATTACAAAGAAGAAAGACTGCTTGTGGATTCGATGGGTCCATTCCTACTACATAAAGAACAGGAGCATTGACACCATGCATATACCTAAGAGTGCAGCTTGGGTAGTAAGGAAGATTATTGAGCAAAGGAAGTTTATATTGAATCTACCAACTCTACAAGGCAATGTGCAAGAAAGACTGGAGTCCTTACGGAGCACAAGTGGTAAATTCAGTATCAAGAAGCTATATAACTTGCAAACTCCTCAGGGTCAGAAGGTATACTGGAAAAGTCTGATTTTACATCCTCATATACATCCTAGACACAAATTCAATATGTGGCTGGCCATT